CAGAAATTTTAAAAGGACTCAAATAATACTAGGTATACTCTCTAAATGCAACAGAATGAAATTAGAAATTAATAAAAGAAAAAAATGGAACACTCACAGTTATGAGGAAATCAAACAACACACTCCTAAATAAGTAAAGGATTAAAGACATAATCAAAAGGCAAATACTTTGAGATGAATAAACAAACAACATACCAAAAATGATGGGATGCAGCAAAAGCAGTAGGCTAAAAGTAAATTTATAGCTGTAAATGCCTATATTGAAAAGAAAGAAAAATCTCAAATCAATAACCTGCACTTATAATGATGACACTGAAAAAAGAACAGCAAACTAAACACAAAGCAAGCAGAAAAAAGGAAATAATAAATACTAGAATGGAAATAAATAAAATAGGCAATAGAAGAACAATAAAAATCAATGAAATCAAAGTGGTTCTTTGAAAATATTAACAAAATTGACAAAACTTTAGTGACAGTGACCAAGAAAACAAGTGAGAAGACTCAAATTACTAAGATCAACAATGAAAATTAGTACACTACTACTGACCACACTGAAATAAAAGGGATTATAAGAGAAACTATCAATAATTCTGTGCTAATAAATAACAAAAAATGGACAAATTTCTAACAAAATAAAACTACCAAAAATGATTCAAGAAGAAATAGACAATTTGAAAAAACCTGTAAGAGACTGAATTAACACTCCAAACACTATGTACATAGAAAGAAAAAAAAAAATCCAGGTACAGATGGCTTCATTGCTGATTACTATCAAGCATTTAAAGAGAATTTAATACTAATATTTTGGATTACCAATATTCTAAAAATAGACAAAGAGAAATATTTTTTGTGAGATCAGTATAACCTTAATACCAAACCAGACAAAAGACAACACAAGAAAACTAAAGACCAATATCTTTAATAAATATGGATGCAAAAATCCTCAAAAACATATTAGAAAACCAAATCCAGCAACATATAAAAAGAATTATATACCATAACAAAGTGGGATTTATCTGCTTTTCCAAGAATGCAAGGTTGGTTTAATATCCAAAGATCAATTAATGTTCTACACCATTATCAAGAGAATACAAAACAAAAACCATATGATCATCACAACCGATGTGGAAAGAGCATTTAACAAAATCCAATACCCTTTCATGATAAAGACACTCAAGAAACTAGGAAAAGAACTTGCTGAGCCTAATATAGGGCATCTAAGAAAAAACCTATAGCTAACATTGTACTTAACAGTGGAAGCCTAAATTTTTTCTAAGAAACATAGTCTCATCTTAGGGAAAAAACAGAAGTGTGATCTCACTGTTTTATTTCAATATTGCACTGGTGTTAGCCAGTGCAGCTACACAAAAAGAAATGAAAAGCATTCACAATGGAAAGAAAGAAGTAAAACCGAATGTTTTTATTCTTTATTCATAGCCAACTTGATCATCTATGTAGAAAATCCAATGACTTCTACAAAAATTTACAGGAAGTAATGAGTTTAGCAAGATTATAAAATAACATCTCAATATACAAAAATCAATTGAATTTCTACCTATGAGCAATAAGCAACCAAAAATTGACATTTAAAAAATATCATATAGGGGCGCCTGGGTGGCGCAGTCGGTTAAGCGTCCGACTTCAGCCAGGTCACGATCTCGCGGTCTGTGAGTTCGAGCCCCGCGTCAGGCTCTGGGCTGATGGCTCGGAGCCTGGAGCCTGTTTCCAATTCTGTGTCTCCCTCTCTCTCTGCCCCTCCCCCGTTCATGCTCTGTCTCTCTCTGTCCCAAAAATAAATAAACGTTGAAAAAAAAATTAAAAAAAAATATCATATATATTACTATCAAAAGCATGAAATACTTAGGGATAAATCTGGTAAAAGATATGAAAGACCTGTATACTGACTCCTACAACTGCTGGGAAAAATCAGAAAACGTCTAAATTAACAGAGAGCTATATCATGTTCATGATTTGGACAACCCAATATTGCTGAGATGTCATCTGTCCCAAAATTCATCTACAGATTTAGCTCAATACCAGTATAAATGACAGCATCCCCTTTTTTTTTAAAAAAAAAGAAGCTGACAAACTCACTCTAAAATTCATATGGGATTGCAAAAGACCTAGAATAGCCAAAACACTTTACAAAAAGGAAGAACAAAACTGGAGGACTAACACTACCTGGTTTTAACCCTTATTACAGAGCTGCACTAATCAAGACAGTATTCATAGTAAGATAGACAAATAGGTAAACAGAACAGGGAGTCCAGAAATAGGCACATATATGGACAAATGATTTTCTACAAAGGTGCAAAGACAATTCAATAGAGGGCAATTTTTTCAACACATGTAGCTGGAAGAATTGAATACCCATATTCAAAACTATGAACTGGGATCTTGCTCTGTACTACATAAAGAAACTAATGGATCACAGACCTAAATTCTGGGAGAAAATCTTTGTGACCTTGGGTTAGACAAAGACTTCTTAGATATGATACTAAAAACATAATTAGTCAAAGAGCAAATTGCTAAGTTGGACTACATCAAAATTTTAAACTTCTGTTCTTTATAACACAATTTTGAGAGAATGAAAAGGCAAAACTATATTAGGAGAAAATATTTTTGCAAAGTATGTATTGGATAAAGGACTTATATCCAAAATGTATCCAATAAGAGAATGAGCAGCCAATAAAAAAACAGGCAAATATTTGAAAAGGAACTTCACCGAAGAATAAGTATGGATGGCAAAGAGCACATGAAAAGATGCTCAACATAACTAACCATTATGAAATGCAAGATAAAACCACAATAATAAACTACTATACATATATACATATTATATACATACATCTACATTATATGTTAGTATGGCTAAAATTAACAGACGGATCATACTAAATGCTAGCTAAGTAAGAATATGGAGGAACCACAATACTCATCACAGCTGGTGGGAATGTAAAATGTTACTAACAACTTTGGCAGTTTTTTTAAAAGTTAAATATATACTTACCATATTTAATCCAGTCACTCCACTCCTAGGTATTTACCCAAGAAAAGCAAAAGCCTGTGTCATACTGAAATTTGTACACCAATATCCATAGTAGCTTATATGAGATAGTCAACAACTGGAAACAACCTAAATGTCTATCACAGATGAAATGACAAATTGTAGTACATACATACACACTCTAATGAGGATGACTCTCAAGTAATTATGTTCAGAGAAAGAGGCCAGACAAAAATGAACACATATGGTGTAATTCTACTTTTACAGAATTCTTAGAAGTGCAAACAAAAGTATAAGGACAGAATGCAGACCAGTAATTATCTGGAGTTCAGCATGGGAAGGAAGAAGTATGAAGGAGGTATACAAAATTGCAAAAAGAAACTTCTGGGGGTGATGGATATGTTCATTACCTGTTTGTGGTTATGGTTTCACAGATATATACATACATCAAAATCTGTCAAAATGCTTAATTTAAATACATATAGTATGTATTTACTATGTAAATACATATGTAAAAACATATGTAATTTAAATACATATGTTAATTATATCTCAATAAAGCTGTTAAGAAATAGCTGAAATATGAAAAGTTATATTAAAATTTTATTATAGCTGCTCCAGAGAAGTAGCCACACCTGCAAAAATTTGAGTTAATGTAATTAATTTACTAACTAAAATCTGAGTTTCTCTGGCTAATCTGATGTAGGTACTACTTAGCAGTAACTGGTTGACAGGCAAGCAAACAGGAACATCAAGAGACCTGAGATCAAGCCACTAATTTGGTCTTTAAACTATAATGAAATTTTGAAATTAATTTTTTTGCTCCTAACTTATAAGTAAAGTTTTTTTAACTAGGAAAAGCCTTATTAACCAGCAATGGAAGGACTAGAAACAGTGGTCATTCAGATTAAATTTCAGTCAGCCTGGACCAATTTCTATTGAACTGGTGGTCCCTTAGCAAAGAAACATTCCAGGATTCTTAAAATCACTGCCATTCTGAATTCCTCTTTCAAAAAGTCAAAGTAGGGAAAGGGGACAGGATGCCTGTTTTGTAGGCATTTTCTAGGAGAACAATTTTTTCCTCTTCTATTTATTAAAAAATTTTTAAAAATTTTTTTTTCAACGTTTATTTATTTTTGGGACAGAGAGAGACAGAGCATGAACGGGGGAGGGGCAGAGAGAGAGGGAGACACAGAATCGGAAACAGGCTCCAGGCTCTGAGCCTTCAGCCCAGAGCCTGACGCGGGGCTCGAACTCACAGACCGCGAGATCGTGACCTGGCTGAAGTCGGACGCTTAACCAACCGCGCCACCCAGGCGCCCCTATGAAAAAATTTTTAAATGTTTATTTTTGAAAGAGAGAGACACAGAGTGTGAGTAGGGGAGGGGCAGACAGAGAGGGAGACACAATCTGAAGCAGGCTCCAGGCTCTGAGCGGTCAGTACAGAGCCCAACGCAGGGCTCGAACTCACTAGCTGTGAGATCATGACCTGACCTAAAGTCGGACGCCTAACCGACTGAGCCACCCAGGTACCCTTTCTTCTTCGATTTTTATGCATATGTGATATTGTTTTCATTGAGTCAGATTTATCCAAATTCCAAGTCACTTCTTATTTCTAAATTGAACTTCTATAGAAGATGAATTTATATCTATCCTGTATCTGGGTAAGCTTCAGCAGTGCACAGTAATTCCTAAAACTGTGGAACCAAAGATAGCTCCCATTTATTATTTTTATGTTGTTCTTAAATTCTTCCAGAGCCAATATAATTGACTAACTCTGGCCTGAGAGCCCAAAGGTGCTAGTGACTAAAATGTATAGAGCAACCCAAAAGCATGATTTCACTAGCTAAGAATACAATGTTTTTGTCCCTTCATTCAAGAAGCCCAGCCAAACCCTACATCCATAATCAGAGCTAAATGCCTACACTTTATGAAAGAAACATTTATTTGCTTATTTAAAAAATTACATGATTTTAGAGAAAAAAAAGGATACCTGTGTTTTGAATTCCAGAATGTTATTTCCTGGATTAATTCTTCCTAGTAATATCAGATCTTTTATCTGCATACATTTCTTTCTGGGAGCTGTGCTGTTGTTTAAAGGGTTTTTTATAATATGTTGACGGCCAGATCCCGAGGAATAGGAGCTCTCACCATCATGAGCATGGGGAACAGCAAAAACTGATTTTTTAAGATATGATTTCATCTGATGCCCAGTAGTACTGCCTAAGGCATCAGTCCCTTGGTGTGCCAAGGATTCTAATGTCCCCCTAGGTGGCTGCTGGGAAGCTATTTTCCTGTTTCCTCTTTTCGGATCACAATTGGTAGGAGCCTGATTGCAAATAACAGTTGATAGATGGGCATCATTTTCGGCAAGTCTGCTTGTAGTCTCTGAAATATTTAATGTGCCAGTTACTGCTGAAGGACTACTGTAAGATTCATTCCCTTTGGCTGGAGTTTCTGTAAGATCATTTTCTTTTTGTGAATATTCTGCTTGAGCAAGAAAAGCAACAGGCTGGGGTGGTAATTTAATCTTCTTAGTGCCATCTGAATGTCTGGATTTTGATAACCCATCCAAGGTACCGTCATTGACATTCTGTTTAGAATTCAGCTCATTTCCAAAAAATTCTTCCCTTCTCACTGTCTCTGAATCTACACAAGTGTTGGTATTTTGGCTGCCATTCCACATTTCCAGAGATGACTGTGTTTCCTGTATGCTTCCACAAATAAGGCTGACAGGAGAACATGAACCTGAATGGGGCTGCACTGAATTTCCCAGACTGGTAAGCCTTTGGCTGTACTTTTCACTAGAGATTTCTGAGCTGGATGGCAGCCTCTTCAAACCAGGACCAGACGCAGATGTAATGTTTGTATAGTTTTGAATTTTCTGGCTAATTTTTTTCTGTTTTTTTGCCACAACTAAAAGGCTCTTCTGTCTTGTGGCCAAATTAGCCAGTTGTTCTCTGAGGACTCCTTGCTTAAATGATTCTATGGACACTCTAGAGAAAGAAACAGAAAGAGAAAAAAAAAACCAAAAACAATAGAAAACTTTTTTTTAGCAATCATGTAGATTTTAAAGATACTTTGTCTCAATTTAAATTTTAATCAACCCAAAGTACACAAGTATTTCCTCTGAGAGGAAAATGACTCCTAAGGTAAGTAAGACTGCCTTTTTCTGGAGGTGATGGTGTGGTTATCCACATTTATATTATTTACCAGTTGTGAGTCAACCCTGAAAAAAAACAAATATGGACTGTTTAGTTGGAAGGAGGAGCACCACTTTTAAATTCGGAGTTTGCTTACCTGTTTATAGTGGAAAGGTGTATCGGGAAATAAAATTTGGGAGTAAGTTGCACTCAAGTTCCCTTAGAGCGATGGAGGAGTGAGACTGTTTTGAATAATTATATCTGAGCTGGACCTGAGAAATGTCAATCCATCAAGTAATTACTGTAATTGTACTTTGAACCTGTATTGAGGCACTTTCGGGTCCAGAGGGACTACCAGGACAAGCATTAACCTGTGTGACCACAATGGGCTTGAGAGGGAGAGAAAATGGCTGCTTCACACCCTTCTTTTGGTTATACCCATCTACACTACAGTGCCCTTCAGGATACTGGACTCTTTGTTTCCAGTAGTTCTCAAACTTTTTGGCTTTATGACTGTTTTATACTCTTAAAAATTATAGAGGACCCCAAAGGGCCGTTTTTCATATGGGTCTATCTATCAATATTTACTGTTCTACAAAATAAAACAGAAAATTTTAAAACACAAGAATATACAAAGATACATCCCATCGACTATTAGAATAATGATAGCACCACACATGTGGCCTCTAGAAAATTCCATTATACACTCATGAGAGAATGAGAGCCAAAAAGTTTCATTATAGAAACAGTTGTGACTTCATACACCCTTTGAAATGGTCTCAGTGACCTTCAGGGATCACCCTAAAGCAGCTGCTTTAAGGGATAGCAATAGTATCACAGTTTAGGGTTGTTGGTACTGAACTTCAAGCAGACCAGATGTTAGAGTGAATACTAGACGTAGGTGGAAGAAGGAGTAAGAAGAAATATTAGCAAACAGCTAGTAGCATAAAATACAAGAAGCTGAACAGAGGAGAAAAAATTAGTAATATCACATTTAAAACAGAGTTCAGACAAAAAATAAAAACGGTTTTAAGATTACAAGATTTTAAGTCTTACAACAGTATTAATAAGGACTTACACCCCTACAAACCCAACTGCTTGGGAACTTCCCAAAACTCCAGGTATATTGTTAATCATAGAACATAAAGGAAAACTGAAGCTAATCTTCTCCAAAGTTTACCTTCTCCAAAGGTAACTGACCTACCTGTAGGTCCTATAAGCTCACTTGCTTTATACTAACAGGAAAACAGAAAAGAGAAATAATCTGTAATATTTATTCACTGGGGAGAAAAGCAAAATGAAGATAAAATATTTGTGAATGAAAATAGAAAACTGATTTTTAAATAAGTTCAGAAAAAAATGTCAAATGATTATAAGAATATAAAGAAAATTAGAGGGGTGCAGGTGGCTCAGTCATTTAAGCACCTGACTTTTGATTTTGTCTCAGGTCATGATCTCGTGGTTTGTAAGATCGAGCCCTGCATCAGCGTGGAGCCTGCTTGGGATTCTCGCTCCCTCTTTCTGCCCCTCCTCCACTGGTACACACGCACAGCACTCACACTCTCTCTCTTAAAAATAAACAAACTTTAAACAAAAGAATATAAAGGAAATTAGAAAATAACAGGTGAATAAGGAACAAGATCAAAAAGATAACTGCAACCCCATATTCACTGCAGCATTATTAACAATAGCCAAGACATGGAAGCAACCTATGTGTCCATCAAAGGCTGAATAAAGAAGATGTGGAATGTGCAAATGTACACACACACACACACACACACACACACACACACACACACACAGAGGAATATTATTCAGACATTAAAAAGAAAGAAATCCTGTCATTTTTGACAACATGCATAGACCCTGAGAGCATTATGTTAAGTGAAATAAGTCAGACAGAGAAAAACAAATACTGTATGGTCTCACTCATATGTATAATCTAAAAAAACAAAAACTACAAAACAAAAAAATGAACTCATATATACAGAGAACAGATTGGTGGTTGCCAGAGGTGGAAGGTGGAGGGTGGGTGAAATGGCTCACCCATTTTGACCCCAGGTCAAAAGGTACAAACATCCAGTAATAAAATAGGTCAGTCATGGAGGTGTAATGTATAGCATGGTGACTATAGTTAATAATACTGTATTGTATATTTGAAAGTTCTAAGAGAGTAAACCTTAAAAGTTCTCATGAGAAAAAAAAAAAAGGCATAGGTAGCTAAGTCTATGTATGAAAAACTAATAAAAATATGCCCAAACAAGAAAACAATATATCTTTCTCAAAAAAGGGAAAAGAAGAGGATATAATATAATCAGGATAAAACCCCTTAAAAGCCCTGAGAGTTTAAGACATACACAAAACCACAAAAAAACACATGGTTACACCACTTAGATAACATTTGTGATAGCAAAAAGAAAAAATTTTAGTGTAAAAAATTTGAGTTTACTATGGAAAGAAATTTATTTTGGGGATTCATGACCAGAGAGGCTGTCATAAAATTCTTGGCTATGGACAACTTTTTAAGATACTAAAATGTCCTCTTCTGAATATTTCAAGTAATAAAAAAGAAAAATATCTTTCTGGGAAGTACAATTCCCCATGAAGGTAATAGATTAGATGACCTCATGGTCATTCTTTGGCCCTAAGCAACAATTGTATTCTTAAAAAATTCCAGACCTAACTATTGTAGCTAAAAAGGGATAAATTATGAAAATTCTAAAGCAGTTCTACTTTTTTCACTCACCTGTATTTTTTAGCCAGATCATCCCTTTCTGCCTTCTGTTTGGCAAGCACATTATCCATAACCTCTTTTATCTCTAACATCTTTTCAATGTATTGTTCTGGAAGCATGGTAATAAAATAAAAAGTTAACTGAGAGATAGCAATTGTTACATTTGATCACAGAGGACTCAGCCTTACTGTTAAATTTTTAAAAATTTATTTCCCTACGCTGCTCCCCAGTATCAATGGCCCAGATATATAAACCAAGACTCATTGAATTATGCCACCCTATGGAAGTACCCTGAAGAGGGCAGGCCAGCTTGAGTTCTAATCCTACTACTCCACTAAGTTCTGTGATTCTGAACAAGACATATGACCCCTTTGGTTACTTTTCTTATTTGTGAAATGAGGGTAGGAAATAAATATTTTGTTAAACTTACTTTTTAAAACACAAAAGGAACACATTGTAAGAAAAATTTTCAAATAATATGAATGTTTACACAGAAGAAAAGTAAAAAAGAGTATCCCACTTTCACCCCCTGTTTCTCCTCTTTTTTACTCCACAAAAGAGACTACTGTTAATACTTTGGGAGGGCACTTGTTGGGATGAACACTGGGTGTTGTATGGAAACCAATTTGACAATAAATTATATTAAAAAAAAAAAGAATAAAGAAAAGATCTATTCTTGATTTGAAAAAAAAATACTTTGGTAGCAGGGTACCTGTTTGTGTGTGTCAATTTTTTTTTAAATTGTGTATTTATTTAATGCATTGTTCTATATATTTATACTATATGTAACTATTTATTATATTTACCTAACAATAAGAATCATGCCATCAGTTCTTGTTCTTTACACTTAGCATTTAGATAGGGCTATATGATATCTAAGTTCACATAGATCTATATATAATTATTTTTATAATAATTACTTAAAATTTTCCCATTTTCTTCCACTGCTTCCTAAGTAACAGCATCATGCTCTGCCCCATCCATCACAAGTCCACAAGATTGACACACAAATGCCAATTATGTCCAAGTCCACATTCCCAAGTAGTAAATGGAAAGGCTTAGATGAATACATTTTCTTTTAAATGACTTTTTTAAATTAAATTTAATTTAATTTGATTTAATTTGATTTGATTTTACTTTTGGCTTTGTTTCTTACATTTTTTCCCTAATTATTTTAGACCAATGCATATTTTTCTAGATAACGTAGAGAAAATCAGTGGTGGGAAATGACATGAAGTTCAGAGTTGAAATTTTTTCCAGAACTTTCCTTTGCAAATCAGACAAATGACTTGATCAGTAAAGAGTCAGTGTTCGCAGAGTAGTTTCTGCCCATCACGCACTTGAATTTTAAATCACAGGTAAAAATAACATTATCATAGTAATCAAGAAAATTCTATGTATTTCTATAAAAAAGGATAGGAAGAATTTTACATGTAACTTGACACAATATACTTATTTATCAGATACATTAATCAGTGGTATCTTAGGGAGAACCTAGAATCGCTCTAATATATGTAAGATTTTAATATATGATAATAAAGAATGAGGATGGCAGAAATTATTCAACAGATAAGAGGAGGGAAATGGAACAGTTATGTGGGGGTGGGGGACTCTATTCTATCCTCATCTTGTGCCACGTGTGGAAAAGAGATTTCAAATGAAGAGCAGAGTTGAAATGCATAGGAAAAAACCAATATACAAAATGTTTAAAGTAAACATCTTTTTGGTCAGTTTGGTTGAGGCACTAAAGTTTCTGACATCAAAGTGAATACAAGACATCAATAAGAAAAACCTACAGAAGGGGCACCTGGGTGGCTTAGTTGGTTAAGCGTCCGACTTTGGCTCAGGTCATGGTCTCATGGTTTGTGAGTTTGAGCCCCGCATCGGGCTCTGTGCTGACAGCTTGGAGCCTGGAGCCTACTTCAGATTCTGTGTCTCCCCCTCTTTCTACCCCTCCCCTGCTCACACTCTGTGTCTCTCTGTCTCTCAATAATAAATAAGTATTAAAAAAAAATTAAAAGAAAAAAGAAAAGAAAAACCTACAGAAAAATGTACAAAATGGGATCTGTTATTCCTGGACTCCTCAGCCAAATCACAGATATAAAAGGTGTCAGAATAAGGAAGTGGTGAATTTGTAAAGACATTTCTTCAGAGAGCTATTGCTCAACTGGATGAGAATCTCCATTCTCAACAGCCAGACTGAGAGGTGAGGTTTCTCTCTGTCTCAAGCCTAAGGAGGGCAGTTTCTCAAAGAACTGTTGAAGAGAGTAATAACTTTCTTTTGAGGTGATAATGGACTCACACCTGGCTTCCTCCTTTGAAATCTAGAGGTTGAGGCCCTGCAGGGCAAGACATGTGGACACCAGGGAAAAGGGAGAGTTGCTCTTGTGCTGAAAGTTAACTGTCCTCCTTTCTAACCACAGATCCAAAGTGCCAGGATCCTGAAGACTTGGTATGGAGCCTGCCCTGTGCCTGTGAGACTGACTATGGAGACTTCTACCTGAGAGAGAGTCTGTGTAGGTGGACCACCAAAAAACAAAACAAAACAAAACAAAACAACAACAACAAAACCAACAAAAAAACAGCAGCAGCAGCAGCAGCTGACGGAAGACAAAGAGGAGCCAGGGAAAGGAAAATGTGCACTGCCCTGCCACACCACAGGAGCCATGTACAAGTTCAGAAAAGCCTCAGAAAATTGCTCTGAAGAGACTAAGCTTTAGACATCCGCCAAAGACTGCTGCAGTCAGTAGCAGTCAGTATTTAGCCTAGTATTTAGGCTAGCAACTGCTAGCCAAGAACTCTAGAGTCCCGTTGCCTTACCGTTCCTCCCTTAAAGGGGCAGTGGGATGAAGACAAAGGGGTCCTGACTAGTCAATGTATTGGTCATAAAAGAATAAAATTAATTTACAAAGCCTAGGGATGGGGAGGGAAGAAAAGTGTCTAATCTTAAAAGCATTAAAAGAAATAGCAAAGGAAAAAGGCTGATACGTTTTATTATACAGAATTTGAAAATGTATGTACTTAAGCATAAAAAGACAGTTAAGTGGCTGAAAAACATATTTGCAGCAGTTATGGCAGAAAAAGAGTCAATTGATTGTATAAAATGGCTCCAACTTATTAACAGAGAAACAGGAACAGTCAATTCACAAAGCAGGAAAAAAAACTAGAGAAAAAATACCATTAATAATAAGGTAAGTGAAAATATGAGGCACATTTTTCTCATTAAACTGGTAAAATTAATTTAAATGAAAATACTGTTGCTATTAGCAGTGTAAAGGAAAACAAACACTAATGTGTGTTGGGGAAAGTGCAAATTAAATTAATATCTAATACTTTATGAAATAATTTATCAATACAAATTAATAGATTTTAAAATGTTTATAAATTTTTGAGCCAGTAGTTCCAAATCATTCCTATGAAGACAGTCCTAAATTCAAAAGCTATATACTATAAAATAGCAAAGAAGTAGAAAAATGTAAATGCTCAAGAAAAACGGAAAAATTAAGCCCTGGAACATTTACAAAATAGGATACTAGGTAAACCACTAAGAATAATGGCTCTAGAGAGAAAATGTAAAGTTGGCAAGTTTAGCATGATCTAAACTATGTTTTTAATAATTTTATTGAGGTGTCACTGCATAACCAAATTCTTAGAAGAAAGGAAACAAATACAACAAAATACTGTGGTGGGACAGTAGGTATTTTTAGCATTTTTTTCCTGGTTTTTTGAAGTGTATTTATATGCCTTTTAATAAAAAATTTTTAATTGAAAAAAATTTTTTTAATTGGAAAATTCATCTTATGTATATAAGGTATTATAAATACTAAATAAAATATATGAACTATTCACATTTGTTTGGGAGTATACATTACAGTATTTTGTATTATTTTCCTCAAAACATAACATGTTTACCATGTGTTAGGCCAAGATGAAAGAATGGGTATAATTTAAAAGGAAATAATTTTTTAAAAGACTGTACAGTATGAACTAGGATAAGAGATGAATAGCTGTATCCTATTACATTAAAGATAGAGGAGATACTTTTAACTACTTAAACATTCAGATCTAAATCTATCAAGACCCAATTTTTACCTTGTAATCGTTAACTCATGAAAACACAACTGTGAGCTATCAAAGATTTACAAATATTCAGTGAACTTTTGAGAAATTCCGATTAGTAGGTCAGGGATCAAAGTCAAATTTACTATTTTGAATCACTTGTGTTTTGTAAACAGGAAGACATCTATGCTAAGATACTTACCTGGTGTATCTGCTCATCTGAAAGGTCTGAGGATTTGCCCTACTTGAGTCACAACTGCATATTCTTCTGCAGATCTGTTTTTAAAGGGCTACCATAGGGGCGCCTGGGTGGCGCAGTTGGTTAAGCGTCCGACTTCAGCCAGGTCATGATCTCGCGGTCCGTGAGTTCGAGCCCCGCGTCAGGCTCTGGGCTGATGGCTCAGAGCCTGGAGCCTGTTTCCCATTCTGTGTCTCCCTCTCTCTCTGCCCCTCCCCCATTCATGCTCTGTCTCTCTCTATCCCAAAAATAAATAAAGGTTGAAAAAAAAAATTAAAAAAAAAAATAAAAAAAATAAAGGGCTACCATAGCTGCAGGGAATAACATAATCTCCTCCCTAGTCACTATATTGTGCTTTCTTTTTTTCTTCACATCTTCATCTAAACATCACCAGTAGTGGCTTATCTCTGATCATTGTTTCAAGTGTCTCTCATGTTACTTATGCTATACTTTGAGTCTTAGAAGTATCTTGATCAACAAGTACACTAACTACTGGTTTGCATAAATGACTTCTGATGCTCATTTCTGGCACTTTACCATCACAAAAAAAAAGGCTACTTTCAGCCACTGTAAGCTTTGACATAAACATGTACCATAAGAAGTTGAGGTAGGAATGACCTTGGATGTACGAAATAATCAAACTTGAGTATGGGTGCATACTTACCTGCATCTTCAGGGGTTCTTATTTCAAATTCTAGTAAACTTTCTTGTTTTTCTTCTATGTCTTGTAGAATGGCACTAATGGTATGATGCTATCAGATAAAAATATTAAAAACTTCATTACAAGAAGGTAGGTATTTCTCTCTGATATGCAATTGTCAAATGCACAGTAAAAGTGCTAAAGAAAGTGCTGCTACAAAGCTTATTTTGCTTTATGTTCAAAATGTGTTCATGCTTTGTTTACCTGTATAAATGTTGCATACTTGAGGGGAAAAGTAAACTTAAATGTTTTGATTTATGTAGCAGATCTACTCCTGGCAAAAAGACTGTAAGAGTAGCAACCGTATAAAGAATCACAATTTCTCACTGACTTGTTACAATCATAGCTGTAGGTGAAACAAGAACAACTGAGAGCACATGATATTTAATGACCACATATATGCAACAAGTTTACTTTAAGGCTCTGTGACTATCACTGCACACTATTAAAATTCTCACACATAATCTTAAAATATAAAACACTACTCTCTCAAAAATTCACAAACGGGATTTAAGGCCCCCTCCCCACGCCCTTGTCAGTAGTGACTGTCTTGCCTGGAATGCCTTCAGTTAACTTTGCCCAGATCCACCTCTTTCCTATGAGAGATGTAATCATGGAGTCGATTCTGGAACTAGGCTGCCTGGGTGTGCTCTGGCTTCACTTCTTCCTAGCTGGGGGGCTCTAGCAAGTTACTTGTCCTCTCCTTGCCTGAACAGACTAACACATGTAAAATGCTTAGGACAGGGCCATTGCAAAGTAAGAATTCAATAAATACTGCTTATTATATAAAACCCATCTCATACATGAAACCCCTGACAAATCTAATTCATACTGATTTCTCCTTTCTCAGAATTACTTAAGAATTGCAGTGCTACAAAACTTAGCATTAATATATATAATATCTTACATATTATAGTTCTCCCTCAAAATAATAAGATCTATAGGCAGGAGCATAGCTTTTATATTTGTGAATGATTTCCAAACTGTTGGATATATAGCTGGTGCTCAATAAATGAAAACGGATGGACTGACTCATATTATCTATTCTTTAATATATTCTCAATATACATTCATTTAAAAAATGTGTCAGTCTTCAAAGCCTTCTGAAGTATACTGCCCTGAAATTCTACTTTGGTGCCTACAAGGGACATGAAAAATGCACATAATAAACGCATCCAATTATGTGGAAAAGCAATCTCACTGCTGTCATTTATGAAATGCATCAAAGCAGAACTATAAAATATAAATATGCAAAACAAACAAATGAAATTTATCTCTTTTTATACCAAATGGCTATAAAAGCAAACTAAAGGTCTGAACTGGCTATGCCTCTACCTACAGGTCAGGATAAAGAAAACACTTTCTGGAGGTGATTTTCCTTTCTCTTTTGCTCATATTGTGGATGCACTCAGTCTTGGCCACTATGGGCAATAACCTTTAACTCCACACAGGCTACACCTTCCACCATGGAGGGTCCAGCATAATCTTCCCCCCAAGAACCTCTTCTTTAGTCCTTCATTACTTGTTGTTTACCTTAAAAAAAAAAAAAAGCACAACAAAAAACCCAACCTAGGATCTGTCTTTGGAATAAGCAGCTTTACATAGTTTATATTGTGCTTACTAAAAGCTTCACGAAAATTTCACTCCAATTTCCTATTTTTACTGTGGTAGGACCATCTTTGTCTCTGACACCTTTACAATTCTGTACAATATGGCACAGTGGTTAGAAGCACAGGCTCTGTAGCCAGACTGCCTGGCATTGCTTTAGTTCTGGTACTGCTACTTAACAGAAATGTATTTGGGGAGAGTCTGTCATATAATAAGTACTCAGTGAATACCAACTATTAGTATTGTTATCACTTCTGTACTTCGTCTACACGGGTATAGAGGAGGCTGCCTACATGTTTTGATTTGATGGTGTTACAAGGTAGCACCAAACTAAAATCATCTCATTTCCTTTCTATCTGGCCATAGGGTCACCCCATCCCCAATGTGATTTGAAGTTTCCAACACTTAAAAGTTCACATTTACAAAAGATTCTTAATGACTTTAAAGTCCTTATATTTCTTTTGAGTTTTTCTTTCTTTTTTTTTTTTTTTTTTGACTGGGAAATTCAGTTTTATTAGTTTTTTTTAATTTTATTTTTTATTTTTTTAAATTTGCATCCAAATTAGTTAGCATATAGTGCAACAATGATTTCAGGAGTAGATTCCTTAATGCCCTTTACCCATTTACTCCATCCCTGTCCCACAACCCCTCCAGTAACCCTGTTTGTTCTCTGTATTTAAGAGTCTCTTCTGTTTTGTCCCCCTCCTGTTTTTATATTATTTTTGTTTCCCTTCCCTTATGTTCATCTGTTTTGTCTCTTAAAGTCCTCATATGAGTGAAGTCATATGATGTTTGTCTTTCTCTGACTAATTTCACTTAGCATAATACCCTCCAGTTCCATCCACGTATTTGCACATGGCAAGATTTCATTCTTTTTGATTGCCAAGTAATACTCCATTGTATATATATACACCACATCTTCTTTATCCATTCATCCATTGATGGATATTTGGGCCTTTCCATTACTTTGGCTATTGTTGCTAGTGCTGCTATAAACATGGGTGTGCATGTGTCCCTTTGAAACCGCACACCCGTATCCCTTGGAAAATGCCTAGTAGTGCTATTGCTGGGTCCTACGGTAGTTCTCTTTTTAGTTGTTTTTTTTTTTTTTTCAACGTTTTATTTTTGGGACAGAGAGAGACAGAGCATGAACGGGGGAGAGGCAGAGAGAGAGGGAGACACAGAATCGGAAACAGGCTCCAGGCTCCGAGCCCTCAGCCCAGAGCCCGACGCGGGGCTCGAACTCACGGACGGCGAGATCGTGACCTGGCTGAAGTCCGCCGCTTAACCGACTGCGCCACCCAGGCGCCCCTCTTTTTAGTTTTTTGAGGAACCTCCATAATGTTTTCCAGAGTGGCTGCGCCAGCTTGCATTACCACCAAGAATGCAAAAGAGATCCTCTTTCTCCGCATCCTTGCCAACATCTGTTGTCGCCTGAGTTGTTAATGTTAGCCATTATGACAGGTGAGGTGGTATCTCATTGTGGTTTTGATTTGTATTTCCCTGATGATGAGTGATGTTGAGCATTAGAGTCAACAAAAATGGACCATCAACAAGGCACATCATAGTCAAATTCACAAAATACTCAGGCAAGGAGAGAATCATGAAAGCAGCAAGGTAAAAAAAAGTCCCTAACATACAAGGGAAGACAGATCAGGTTTGCAGCAGAGTTTTTCTTTTTTAAAGTTGGTTTTCTTTTTAGGGGCACCTGGGTGACTCAGTCAGTTGAGCATCCAACTTTGGCTCAGGTCATGATCTCAGAGTCTGTGGGTTCGAGCCCTGCATGGGGCTCTGTGCTGACAGCTCAGAGCCTGGAGTCTGCTTCCGACTCTGCATCTCTCTCTCTCTCTGCCCCTCCCCTGCTCATGCTCTGTCTCTCTCTGTCTCAAAAATAAACAAAAACATTAAAAAAAAAAAGAAAAAGAAAATCAGAGACTCAAGCCTATACTACACATGTGTGTAAGAACTAAATTTATATCATTTGTGTGGTTCAGGAACTCAAACTGAGAAATGAGCATAAAAACTTGTGTGAAGCTGATAAACTTCTAAGGGCCCCAGAAGAGGCAAATGTTAAACACGAAGCCTAGGCACACCAAAATTCCCATAGTAATCGGTCCTCAATGAAATGAAATCATAACAAAAAATTAAAAACCACATAAAGAATCATGTTATCATGTGAGACTCAGGAAGAGACCTTAAAATTCCTTTTAGTTTTATTTTGTTCTTTCTTTAAAACAAAAATTCGAAAAGCAAATATTTCTAGAAATAAAAAAGTCATTTAAATTAAAGTTTCAACATATAAGTTAAAGAGAGTAGAAATACGGGTTAAATAGAGGAGAAATATTTGAGGAGAGAAATAATGAATCAGGAGGTCAAAGGATAGCACACAGAATATAGTGTGGAAAGTTAAAGAAATGGAAAATATGAAAAAGATACTAGAAGATATTAAGACTAGTCTAACCAACATCTAAACAGAAGTTCAAAAAAAAAAGAAAAAAGAAAATTACTGAGATGGAGGAGAGGCAATTTTCAAAGGTATAAAGACTGAATGTTTCTGGAATACAAATGAGAAATGTGCTTTCACATTAAAGGAGTATTTCTAGGCCTGAGCTTAATTAATAAAATGTTCCACATTTAGACACAACTTAGTGAAACTGGAGAACATAAAAGCTACAAGATTATCTATAAGGGAGTGACAATTAGATTGGCAGGTGACTTTCTGTCCATTATTAACAGATACCAGGAACCAACGTAAATCATTTTCAAAGTGCTAAGGCAAATGCAATTTAGTTTTAATAGAACTTAAAATATTTATGCTATAAATTAGTTGATTAACAAAAGTTGAAGTTCAAAGAATAATACTGTCTTCTCTACAATGACTAACACAAAGCATATAAGAGAAGTCTAACTTCTCTTCAAAATAGTATTTCATTGAGGATGCTATTTCACTTAAGAAGTTAGTTTCTACTAAGCTTTGTGTTCTTATCATGTTACACGAATCTTATCAATTAACATATTTTTTTTTAAAACTTACGTCGATATTTGTTTATGGTATGATCAAGTTATTTTATTTTATTTATTTATTTTTTATTTATATATGAAATTTATTGTCAAATTGGTTTCCATACAACACCCAGTGCTCATCCCAAAAGGTGCCCTCCTCAATACCCATCACCCACCCTCTCCTCCCTTCCACCCGCCATCAACCCTCAGTTTGTTCTCAGTTCTCAACAGTCTCTTATGCTTTGGCTCTCTCCCACTCTAACCTCTTTTTTTTTTTTTTCCTTCCCCTCCCCCATGGGTTCCTGTTAAGTTTCTCAGGATCCACATAAGAGTGAAACCATATGGTATCTGTCTTTCTCTGTATGGCTTATTTCACTTAGCATCACACTCTCCAGTTCCATCCACGTTGCTACAAAAGGCCATATTTCATTTTTTCTCATT